TGTACTACACATAAATACGTACATATTTAAGATTGACTAGGTACTGAGAATAAAGGGGAAGGGTGAACAATAATCTGATTATTTCTTATTTTACAAGAAGTCATGAACAGGATGATCGGATGGTAAAGTGTGTAAAACAACTTGTGTTGGCATTTTCCTCCCAAGGTATTTGTTCCTGGGGTGTTTTCTTTTCCTGTATTTTTCTATTTCTGTTTGTAGTCACTTCACAGGCATTTTTGTCACCTTTAGTGAAATTCATCTGTCACAGAGGTGCCCAGCTATGCCAAAAGCCCTGACAGTATAGTCTGACACAGAGAAGCAGTGAAAAGTCTTGACTAAATTTGGGACCAAGGAGAGGGCATGCATTCCTGTGCCCTTTCAAAGTGAAAATAACTGATACAGGGAAGTAGAGAGGCACTTCGGAATGACTATACTCTTGAGGGGTTCTTCTTTAGTGGGGAATATGAAACTGGAGTGGTTTCTTCTTCTCAAAGGAAAAGGATCCCTTATGTTGTCATCTGGCTTGAAAAGGAGGAGAGAGAAGTCTTTTGCTTCTGTGAAATTGTCAAACCCTTCAGTTCTCTTATAAGGAAACCTTTTTAGTTTTTTTAATCATAAAGAGAGAGAAAAAGTGAGAAATCATCCCTTAGGAGGATGGCCATATTACAGTTCCTTCTCTTCCACTCTCCTCCTGGGATTTTAGGCATGTGTGCTCAGGCACCTGGTGTGATTTACAATTCACCAGGTCTGGGACTTGAACCACAGTTGGCCATATCGGAGTCCAGCACCTTAACCAGCACACCACCTGCTGGCCCTGAGGAAGCAATTCTTTAAAACATAACCTTATTAGCGCCAGCAGGCAGTGTAGTGGATAAGGCACTGGACTCCAACATGGCCAACCTTGTTTGAGCCTCAGACCTGGCAGCTTAAAAATAATGCCAGGCATGTATGCATGCATGCTCAAAATCCTGAGAGGAGACTGAAGGAGGAGGGATTGTGGCAGGCCATACCCCTAGGGCAGTGATTTCTCACTTTCCCTCTCTCGGTATTTCTGTTTCTCATGCGCCCTATGGCAAAAGCCTTATGTAAAAAAAAACAAAAAACAAAAAACTATACCCTTATTAACATCTTATAGTGGTTTAAATTTTTCTCCAATTTTGATGGCTAGTAGGCAAACATGGGTCTATATGCTTAAATGAAAATTAATCTTTTTACTTTTTCCTGCCCCTCCTACCCGAAAGTGTATAATTAGTGTCCCAGATATACTGGTAAAGCATGTAGGTGCACCAGCCTAATTTGAGCCTGTGTGATTATATAGTCCTAATTACTTGTCATTGCTGAAATCCTATCAGAAAATGATGGGACCATAAGATTGTGCCCCTCCCCCCATGTAAGTCTATTTACTTCTATCGGGGTGGCACCCCCAATAGGGTCCTCATGCCACAGTTCACCTCTAGTTTCAGAGAGCCTGGATCATAGGCCTGCATGCCATGCCAGTGTGCTTAGGAATGTCCCAGGACACGAACTTAAGACTTTCCCCATGTGGGTCTAGTTTTATTACTGCTGCGCCACCACCTGCCTTTAAGATTTAGCCCCTTTTAGTCCTATTGCTGGAACCCCGGCAGCAGATGAATTGTAGCTTTAACAGCAGTTGCAATGATTGCCTGATTTTTCAGTTGGTGGTTTTATATTTTTGTTTTAAGATCTTAGCAAAGCGATGTCTCAAGATGGTGCTTCTCAGTTTCAAGAAGTTATTCGACAAGAGCTAGAATTATCTGTGAAGAAGGAACTAGAAAAAATACTTACCACAGCGCCATCACATGAATTTGAGGTAAGGACTCTAGGGTTTTTGCTTCATCCATCTACCTGCTGAGTTGCTGTGGATGATGGTGGTCATTCAGTCTGAAATAAGCACAAGATGTATGATAACATCAAAAATCAAAAACTGTTGAATACGATTGCTTAATAATTAAGGATTTCTAACATTTGCCCATTGTAAAACCAGTGTTTTTCTTTCCCTTCTTTTCTTTTTCTTTCTTTTCTCTCTTTCTTTCTAGGAGCTTTTATAAGTCGATAATTGAACAAAACTATATTTTACTCTTTACTCTGTGTATTTTTGTTTTGATATTATTGGATAGCGAAATGGATACCATTGTTCAGTTTTGTGAGAAGTTAGTTTATCAACCATGTATCCTGCGTACTTTGTCCAAAGAGCCAGTGCTAATAGAACCATGCTACTTTGACAACAGTAATAGAAATTTCCCAGAACTAAGAGGTGTTTAAAGTTCTTATAAATTGGTAGATTATCCTTTTCATTTTCAAAGTTTAATTTTTACTTAATGTTTTAAGATTAACTATGCTTTGTTCCTTTTTCTTCTTTTGCTGAAGATTAATTTCCACTTAGAAGTAGAGAATGATATTGTTGAATAAATTTAGAGAATCAGTTGGAGTTCCCATGAACCAAATAGTGTTCAGATTACATAACGCTGATAGGAGGTAGGAAGGATTATTTACTTGTAGTCCTTTAAATTTGGTTTCTTTTAGCTTTAGTTTTAAATTATAGTATTAAAAACTTACTGCTTTATGCCCTGTCTGGATAGTGTAAGAATTTAATTTAAAAGTATTTTAAATATTCATGGTTTTTATGTTTTTATTAAATATTAAGCATTCTGCTGGTTGTAACGTAACTTCTATTTTCATAGCACACCAAAAAAGACCTCGATGGATTTCGGAAGCTATTTCATAGATTTTTGCAAGAAAAGGGACCGTCTGTGGATTGGGGGAAAATCCAAAGACCTCCAGAAGATTCAGTAAGTTTCAAATAAACTCTAGCAAAATTTAAGTGAATTTTGGACATCAGTTTAATTTGGGGGGAGGTAGTATAAAGGACCTATAAGACCTGTCACTTCAGACACAGAGAAGGATTGCCTTGCATTCTCTGACCACTCATGCCGAAACTATGGAGATTGCCTTCTGCTACTTTCCCTTCATTTAGACCTTCCAATGTCCTTCTGAGGGCTTCTGGAAGGCTATCTCCCTGTATTACTACTACCTTAAAACTGAACATACTTGTATATGCAGTTTTTTCTTTCTTTTTTCCTGACTTGCTATAGGGCTATGTACTTATTTAACAGGGTTGTTCTGAGGCTTTATTAAAATAATATAGGTGGAATAAGTTAAACCATGAAGCATTTGGCAGATGTTAGTGTTATTTCTACCATCATGTGACATTTAATAGACTAATTAGTAGTAGGTGTTTGTATTATCATGTTGCCTTTCCTTAACTAATGTAGAGGCCAGAGGGACATGTGTCTTGAACAAATTGATGTGATGATCTAAATGACATGCTTGTCTGAGGAACAAGTTTTGTTAATCCATTGACATTTCCTCCTTTTCCAGTTAGTTCTTTCGACCTCAGCTGCTTTTGGCACTTTTTGGAGCAGGTATTAGGTTGTCGGAAAAGTTATGATGTGTTTAAATGCATCATGACTTCTCCGACAACCCAATAGAAAAGACTAGAGTACGGTAATTAATTGTATGTAGGTAGATTATCTCTTATGTGTTTATAATTTTGGTTTAAAAATAAACATAAGGCTATTGGGACCAGCAGATGGCATAGGGGTTACATCGTTCGACTCTCAAATGGCCAACCACAGTTCAAGTCTTAGACCCAGTGGCTTGCATCTCATGCCAGAAGCTTATGCATGCATGCCCAAGATCCTAGGAGGAGACGAGAAGGGATTATGATGTGGCCGTCTTTCAGGGGGTGATTTCCCACTTTCGCTCTCTCTGTCTCTCTCTGTCTGTCTCCCTCTCTCTCTCTCAGGCAAGAGCACACACCCTAAAACAAAAACTTCTTAAAAACAACAACAACAACAACAAAGTATTTACTATGGGGGTTTGACAACCTGCTATCTGAAGGCTGCCCACTGCCTGTATTTGTAAAGTTTAATGGGAACACAACTCCATTGATTTATTGCCTTTGGCAGCTTAAACTAATGGAATGCCTCGTATTTTTTCCTAATGCTAAGAATCTTAAATATGGTTCAATGTCAGGAATATTTTTGTCCTCATATATGGAAAATGTCATTTAGTTCTCAAACTTTTAAGAATTATAAATTACCTGCTTATCGTAAACAAAAAATAAATAAGCTAAACAACTAAGATTCTATCTAACTGTTCACTTGAAGAAACTCATTTTCGATGTTGAAATTAAGTCTTGCCTGTCATGCTTGACAATTACAGTATGCATGTTCACTTTTTTGTTGTTGTTTTTTTAAGAATTATTTATTTTATTTGTTATTAATTATTTTTAATTTGACCAGAGAGGGAGAAATGAAAAGTGAGAAAGTAAGTCACCAGGTCCAGGACTTAAACTGTGTTCCACCATATAGGAGTCCAGAACCTTAACCATTGTGCCATCTGCCAGCCCCTGCATGTTCTCTTTTTGAATTTTTAAAATTTTATACTTTAAGTTTGTTTATTTAATTTTATTTGTCATCATTATTATTTCATTTGACCAGAGAGGGACAGAGAAAGAGAGAAAGGGAAAGTGAGAAAGCAAGTCACCAGGTCTGGGACTCAAACCGCAATTGGCTATGTGGGGAGTCTAGCGCCTTTAACCACCTCACAACCTGCTGGCCACTCTATGTTCTCTTAGAGCCTGTTTTTTTTTGTCTTTGATTTCCATGGCCCTCATGAGTGAATTATGGTCTTTCTGCTTTTAAGTAGTAGTACTAATATTCTCCTGAAAAGTAATAAAAAGAGAGTTTTTCTGGATAGGTATGTGGTTTAAAAAAGCAACTAGATATAAATTCATTTGGATTTTTAAAAATATTTGGAGCAAACCAAAAATTATAATAAATTTAAATGTTGCTTATCTTTCCCCTTTGAATACTTAAAATATTTGCTTAGGAACTATTCCTAATTGAAAAAACCTCACTAATCTTTTTTAAAAAAATTTCTCTTTTATTATTATTTTTTAATTTGACCAGAGAAAGAGACAGAAAGCAAGCCGCCCGGTCCAGGTCAAACCACGATCAGCCATGTGGGAGTCCAGCGCCAACCAGCACACCACCCGTCAGCCCCTTAACCAAACTAATCAGTGATAAATAGACCCAAGTATAAAGGTATGGTTTTCTCACTTCTTAATTCTTACTTGTAAGCCTGGGAATTTTTTGTTGTTTTTTTTTTTTCCCTATACAAACTTAATGTTTTTAACATAAATGCCTCCCTTGAAGGATAACCTAAACATTTGTTACTTTTAGTATATTCTAAAGTTCAGGGATCTGTTTTGTCGGGGCAGGAATCAGTCTTAGTATATTTTGATCATGATCTATGTTAGGGATTCCTGACGTGCAGGGATTAGAAGGTGGAGAAAGAAGGAGTAGAGGGATCAGAATCGAGATTTAGGGGGTTCAGTCTTACTTTTTATCATCCCCAGCTAGGTTCTGATAAATCCTTTGAACAGGCTATGCACATACAGTTAGTTAGTGATAGGAATGAAGAGTCGATATAGGAAAAACAATAGAAATAGAAATAAATTCTGGATGTAATATAATTTTGTGCAACCTTTCATTTTTCTGTTTATGAAAGTATAAATATTCACTAATACATGTTTATTTTGAAGCCTAGGTTTTCAGTATCTTTTTTAAAAAGTGTCTGTAATCCCATATACCCTTACTGTGGATGGTTGTAGAATGCAGAGACAAAAAATAAGTTTGCTCTTCAAATTTCAAATATATCATGAGCTTTTTGAGGGCACAGCTGTGTCTTAGAGATAATTTGTATGTTACATGCTACATAAATAACAGAAAGTTGAATATATGTTTTAAGATTAATGTTTTAGGCTAGAGAAAGAAGGACTAGCCAGCATATGCAACTTGTTTCATCATGTCATTTTCTCCCAGAGAGACCTTGAGAGTATCTTGTTCTTGGCCAAATTGATGTGTTGGGAATGGTGATGGGAAATAAATCAAAGGAAAAGAAGGCACGGAGCCTGCTAAAGAAGGTCCTGGGGCTGACAGGTTCTTCTAAACCTTAACTTAAAAGCTGCTCTCACCTGGCTGGCACTGATCACTGGTGATGGAACATTCTCATTCCTATGAAAAGAATTCTCTAAAGAAGGCTTTTTTTAAATTTACATAGAATCAAAAAGGTGAAGGGTGTATTTGTGAATGGGAAGGAGTAATACAGGGTCATAGAGAATTGACATGAAAGGACTATCATGCTCATGTGGTATTTAGTTCCAATATATTTTTTTGTTTTGTTCCCTAAAAAACTGAGAGCTTGTCTTACTTTTAGTCTGTCATCAAAAACATTAAAATAGGGACCAGCAGGTGGCATAGTAGTTATGTCACTGGACTCCCACATGGCCAACTATGGTTCGAGTCCTGGATCTGGTGGCTTCAAATCATGCTGGGCACGCACGCATAGAATGGAGAAGGGATTGCACTGTGGCCATTCCCCCTGGGCAATGATTTATCTCTCTCTCTCTGGCAAACACATATTCCCTATAACAGAAATCTCTCTCTTAAAAAGAAAAAGAAAATTAAAACGTGGGGGCCAGCAGATGGCATAGTGGTTATGTCACTGGGCTTTCACATGGCTGACTGTGTTTCAAGTCCCAGACCTGGTGGCTTGAAAATCACACTGGGTGCATGTGCGTGCATGCCCAAGAGCATGGGGGGAAGGGGTTATGGTATGGCCATCCTCCCTGGGAGGGTGATTTCTCATTTTCCCTCTCATTGTCTGTGTCTCTTTCTCTCTGTGGTGAGTGCATGTACCCTAAGGCAAAAAAACTCTTAAAAATAAATTTAAATGTATATGCTTAAATGATAAAGCATTCTGAGAAAGTTATAGTGTACATGTGCAGAGTACCAATACACAAAAATTATTTTCCTTTTGAAGGTGAACCACCGTACACTGTGCATCTCAAATTTGCTTAAGTTTTTGAAAGACTTGCTGGGGGAGGCACTTAGATCAAGGTTCTGACATGATACGACACAGGATGGTTTGCTTTGGGCATGTCAAGATTTCTCAGCTGGAGTCAGCTAATAGGAAAGTCATTAAAGACTTGAGAGAGAAAATGAGATCCTGAATTTAACAGTATTACTCAGAACAGAAATAGTGACATTTAAGTGAATGGCCCTAGGACATGGCTGGATACCAGTCTCAACTTTGTCTTGACTTAAAATTTTAGAGTGATGGGGCCGGCAGGTGGCATGATGGTTAAGGGCACTGGACTCCCACATGGCTGACCAAGGTTCGAGACCCAGACTTGGCAACTTGCTTTCTCACTTTCTCTCTCTTTCCTTCTCTGATAATTAATAAATGAATGAATGAATGAAATAATGTTAAATAAAATAATTCTTTAAAAGAAATTTTAGAGTGATAATGTATAGAAATGCCAATATAAGTAAATACACTAATTTAGCAAATACTGTCAGAGTTCTAATTCCCATCATTTTGATTTCTTGAGAACTGACTTTTTGAAGTTTTCCTAGGGCTGCCTTCCTTCACATGTCTTTATATACAGAATCTTTATTTCAGGAAAGGGGACTGGGTTAAGAAGGTGATGAATAGGCCTGTGACTCTTAATTATATTCTGCTTACTTATTTATGGTTTCACTTTAGAAATAGTAATGGTAAATACATGGAACTTTAATGACAGTTCCATGTTTGATTTGAGAGGCTTCAGGTGTTATTGTTGGACCAGGGTCTCTATTACCCTTGTGTCCAGAGTAGGGACAGTCCAGTGCCACAGAACTGAGCTCATTGGGAACATCGTAGGGCTGTATAGGTAGTAGTGCTACACTGAGCGTTGTCCTTTCCACCTCAACTTCTACCCCAGTTTTTTTGTACCTTGGCTGCGACACCTAATACAGATCATTTAATAATAACCCTCTTATCCTTGTTGCCCTGAAATTCCTTTGGGGGGGGGTTAGGGCTGCCTACCAATTCTTTTTCCTCCTGGATTAGATTTGAACAGCTGACTCTCCACTTGAATAGAGTCATTGTATAGCCACTTGAGACTAGAATGTTTACACCAGGCATCTCACCTTGGGAGGTCTTTGTAGGAATTACAGGCCCTTCATAGATTTATTGTAGGTAAAACCATGTACAAATGTACATGTTTTTTCAGAGTAGATGCCCTGCCTTTTATAGGGTTCTCAAAGAGGTTTATGATTTATAAAATTTAAGAACTAATGTCTTGGAATTTAATTCAGTAATTTATAAAGTGTCTCTTCTCTGTCAGGTACTAACTAGATGCTATGACCACAAAAACAAGTCTTGGTCTCTTTTTGTTATTCCGACCTATGTTTGTGGTGGAAATGGATGCAGGAACTACTAGCTGCAAAACAATATGATATGTATGCAGTTCATAGGGTGCTGTGAAAAAATCTAACTTCAATGGAGGGGGTCAGGAAAAACTTCCTGGCATTAACGTAGACTTCTGGGGTGACCTAGAGACAAGACTTCTTTGAGGATGGAAAGATCATCAAAAAGAAAAAAGCCTTTGAGAATAGTTAAGAGTCCAAGGCCAGCCCTGTGGCCTGGTGGTTAAGGGAGCTGGATCCCACATAGTTGATCCCACGGTTTGAGTCCCAGCCCCTGCTCCCACAGCTTGAGAAACATGCCAGGCTTGTGCGTGTGAGTACAGTGAGAAATGGAGAAGGGATCGTGTTGTGACCACGGCCCATTGGGAGGTGCTCTCTCCCTGTTTCTCTCTGGCAAGTGCACGTACCTACCTTTGGAAAATTTAAAAAGAATAATCGAGTGTGAAATAGTGGCATATAGATGGTTCTCTGGTGGGGGAGCATATGTGTCTGCTTTTCCAGTTTAGAGCCGGAAGAAAGGCCCCATGGCAGAAGCTGATGAGTCTCTCTGCCTGCCATTGCACCTCCTGTTCACTGGCTGAACGTCTATTTTCTCTGGGAGGGTTACGCTGGGGAGATGTCGCAATCTGCAATTTCCATTTAAGACAGACACTGATGGTGGAAGGTTGTAACAAAATTTAAAAACCATACTTCATTGTATATCTCAGACAGTTGGTTTTGATTTTTCAGTAGAATAAACATCAACCTAATTAGTTTGTTAAAAGATGCTTATTATGGTTTTTGTTTTTAGTTGTGATTAGTAAGCCTTATAAGGTTAATCAGCATTTTAATTTTAATACCTTCTGGTTTTCTAATGTGAGATTTATTGAAGTATAATTTACATGTAATAGAAATTCTCCTTTTTTACTATACATTTTTATGAGTTTTGAAAAATGCATATAGTTGTGTAACACCAGCACAGTCAATGTACAGAACTTTTCCATCACCCCCAACAATTCCTTTGTGCCCCTTTGAAATGTGCTGCTCTGTGGTGATAAAGGTGCTGGATTCCCACATGGCCGATCATAGTTCAAGTCCCAGACCTGGCGGCTTGCTTTCTTCCTTTTCCTTTATCTCTCTCTCTCTATCTCTGTGTCTCTGTCTTATTAAATTAAAAAATAATAATAACAAATGGAATTAAATGAATAAATGGTTCTTTAAAGGAAGAAAAAAAAGAAAGAAATGTGCTATTTCTTTACAGGTCTCTGGTCCCAATTTTCCTCTTGCCTCAGCACAAGCTAAGCAAATATGTATCTTTCTGAACTATTGCCTTTTCCTTTATTTTGTTCTCTCTTAAGGAAGAAGTCAGCATGGCCTCCACCCTCAGTTTTATGTCCTCTGACCTTTCCCCTAGCCCTTGGTCCACCCACTCATACTACACTTTAATTTTCCATGGAACTTCCATTTCATAGCCTATGGCCTCTCCCTCTCCCACCCACACTTTGATTTCTTCAGAACTGCTCCAACAATGTGAATTAAATCATTAAACAGTGTATTTTATATTGCTGTAGTTCCTAACTATTCAGAACCTCAAAGTTTAAAGCTAATGTAGACAAACAGGATGATATTAGAGACTTCAGTTTTATTTTTTAGGGTATGTAGGATTATTGCAGTTATTCTGAAGGCTCTTTGGTCCACAGGTAGGCTAGTAGGAAGATTGGCCTGTAGAGGAGATGCAAGATGATTCTAGTAAAGAGCTAGTCCTGGTCACCAGGCAGGTTGTGACATAAGCAGGTTGGTATTTGGACCTT